ATACAGAGACACTAGCTCCTGATGACAGCTCTACAGAGACACTAGCTCCTGATGACAGCTCCAGAGGGACACTAGCTCCTGATTATAGCTCTACAAAATCACTCACTTGTCTGGACCGTGAGCCTTGTTCCAGATCCAAAAACAAGTTTGGTCCAACTCCCAGACCCACAGTGAGAGGACGCGAAACAAGAACTGAACCAGGACTGAACCAGGACTGAACCAGGTGTGAACCTGGACTGAAGCTGGACTGGACTGTAGTATCGCAGTATTAGTTCATATATTTGCATAGCACAGCTCAAACCGGAACGTGATTCATAAACAAGTATGTTTTTAAAGGTTTGAAATATGAGCACACTAGGTAGCTCCTGATGACAGCACTATAGAGACACTAGCTCCTGATGACAGCTCTACAGATACACTAGCTCCTGATGACAGCTCTACAGAGACACTAGCTCCTGATGACAGCTCTACGGAGACACCAGCTCCTGATGACAACTCTACAGAGACACTACCTCCTGATGATAGCTCCACAGATACACTAGCTCCTGATGACAGCTCTACAGAGACACTAGCTCCTGATGACAGCTCTACAGAGACACTAGCTCCTGATGACAGCTCTACAGAGACACTAGCTCCTGATGACAGCTCTACAGAGACACTAGCTCCTGATGACAGCTCTACGGAGACACTAGCTCCTGATGACAACTCTACAGAAACACTACCTCCTGATGAAAGCTCTACAGAGACACTAGCCCCTGATGACAGCTCTACAGAGACACTAGCTCCTGATGACAGCTCTACAAAGACACTTCCTACTGATGACAGCTCTACAGAGACACTAGCTCCTGATGACAGATTTACAGAATCACTCACATGTCTGGACCGTGAGTCTCGTCCCAGATCCAAAAATCAGTTTGGTCAAAGTCCCAGACCCACAGTGAGAGGACGTGAGACAAGAACTGAACCAGGTCTTAACCAGGACTGAACCTGGACTGAACTGTGTCCAAACCAGGACAGAACCAAACCTGAACCAGGTCTCTGGTGTGTACTGTAGTATTGCAGTATTAGTACTCACATGTGTGTACTGTGAGTCTGGTCCCAGGTCCAAAGATGAGTTCACTCGTATACACACAGTACTGCAGACTGAGGCTAATACTACTGCAATACTTCTTCTTCTACAATACATGTTTATTTGTGTAGCACAACTCAATCACAAGGGAAGTCATTCATAAAACAATTATGTTTTTAAAGGTTTGAACCATGAGCACACTTGGTAGCTCCTGATGACAGTTCTACAGAGACACTAGCTCCTGACGACAGCTCCAGAGAGACACGAGCTCCTGATGACAGCTCCTGATGATTGTTCCACAGAGGCACTAGCTCCTAATGACAGCTCCAGAGAGACACTAGCTCCTGATGACAGCTCCTGATGACAGCTCTCCAGAGACACTAGCTCCTGATGACAGCTCTACAGAGACACTAGCTCCTGATTATAGCTCTACAAAATCACTCACTTGTCTGGACCGTGAGCCTCGTTCCAGATCCAAAAAGAAGTTTGGTCCAACTCCTAGACCCACAGTGAGAGGACGCGAAACAAGAACTGAACCAGGACTGAACCAGGACTGAACCAGGTGTGAACCTGGACTGAAGCTTGACTGGACTGTAGTATCGCAGTATTAGTTCATATATTTGCATAGCACAGCTCAAACCGGAACGTGATTCATAAAACAAGTATGTTTTTAAAGGTTTGAAATATGAGCACACTAGGTAGCTCCTGATGACAGCACTACAGAGACACTAGCTCCTGATGGCAGCTCTATAGAGACACTAGCTCCTCATGACAGCTCTACAGATACACTAGCTCCTGATGACAGCTCTACAGAGACACTAGCTCCTGATGACAGCTTTACGGAGACACCAGCTCCTGATGACAACTCTACAGATACACTACCTCCTGATGAAAGCCCTACAGAGACACTAGCTCCTGATGACAGCTCTACAGAGACACTTGCTCCTGATGATAGCTCCACAGAGACACTAGCTCCTGATGACAGCTCTACAGAGACACTAGCCCCTGATGACAGCTCTACAGAGACACTAGCTCTTGATGACAGCTCCAGAGGGACACTTGCTCCTGATAATAGCTCTACAAAATCACTCACTTGTCTGGACCGTGAGCCTTGTTCCAGATCCAAAAACAAGTTTGGTCCAACTCCCAGACCCACAGTGAGAGGACGCGAAACAAGAACTGAACCAGGACTGAACCAGGTGTGAACCTGGACTGAAGCTTGACTGGACTGTAGTATCGCAGTATTAGTTCATATATTTGCATAGCACAGCTCAAACCGGAACGTGATTCATAAAACAAGTATGTTTTTAAAGGTTTGAAATATGAGCACACTAGGTAGCTCCTGATGACAGCTCCACAGAGACTAGCTCCTGATGACAGCTCTATAGAGACACTAGCTCCTCATGACGGCTCTACAGAGACACTAGCTCCTGATGACAGCTCTATAGAGACACTAGCTCCTGATGACAGTTCTACAGAGACACTAGCTCCTGATGACAGCTCTACAGAGACACCAGCTCCTGATGACAGCTCTACAGAGACACTAACTCCTGATGACAGCTCTACAGAGACACTAGCTTCTGATGACAGCTCTACGGAGACACTAGCTCCTGATGACAGCTCCAGAGAGTCACTAGCTCCTGATGACAGCTCGACAGAGACACTAGCTCCTGATGACAGATTTACAGAATCACTCACTTTTCTGGACCGTGAGTCTCGTCCCAGATCCAAAAATGAGTTTGTTCAAACTCCCAGACCCACAGTGTGAGGACGTGAGACAAGAACTGAACCAGGTCTTAACCAGGACTGAACCTGGACTGAACTGTGTCCAAACCAGGACAGAACCAAACCTGAACCAGGTCTCTAGTGTGTACTGTAGTATTGCAGTATTAGTACTCACATGTGTGTACTGTGAGTCTGGTCCCAGGTCCAAAGATGAGTTCACTTGTATACACACAGTACTGCAGACTGAGGCTAATACTACTGCAATACTACTTCTTCTGCAAGGCATGTTTATTTGTATAGCACAACTCAATCACAAGGGAAGTCATTCATAAAACAATTATGTTTTTAAAGGTTTGAACCATGAGCACACTTGGTAGCTCCTGATGACAGCTCTACAGAGACACTAGCTCCTGATGACAGCTCTACGGAGACACTAGCTCCTGATGACAGCTCTACGGAGACACTAGCTCCTGATGACAGCTCTACGGAGACACTAGCTCCTGATGATAGCTCCACAGTATGCATTTTTTGTTTTGTATGTATGGATGGATGAGTTTCTGCTGCTGGACACTGAATTTCTCCAACGGGGATCAATAAACTATCTGTCTGCAGAATCACTCACTTGTCTGGACCGTGACCCTCGTCCCAGATCCAAAAATCAGTTTGTTCCAAGTCCCAGACCCACAGTGTGAGGACGTGAGACAAGAACTGATCCAGGATTGAACCAAGCCTTAACCAGGACTGAACCAGGTGTGAACCGGGTCTGAACCAGGACTGAACCAGGTGTGAACCGCGTCTGAAGCAGGACTGAACCAGGTGTGTACTGAACTCTAGTGTGTACTGTAGTATTGCAGTATTAGTACTCACATGTGTGTACTGTGAGTCTGGTCCCAGGTCCAAAGATGAGTTTACTTGCATACACGCAGTACTGCAGACTGAGACTAATACTACTGCAATACTACTTCTTCTACAAGGCATGTTTATTTGTTTAGCACAACTCAACACAAAGACAATGATTTATAAAACAAGTATTAGAATTATACAAGAACATTAAAAAGAGTAAAGATACAATCAGCAAGATTTTTACTCACAGCTTTGAACCATGAGTCTGGTCCCAGATCCAAAGAGCAGCCTCCAGCTGTTAGTATACACACAGTACTACAGAGTACTACAGAAAATGCTTTGACTTGGAATTTTGATATTCAAATATAATGTGAGTTTAAAAAATACATATAAATAATTTGAATGAATATTAGACAGCCCTTAATATTCAAAGCTGTAATGGGAATGATCTTTTTTAAATTATACATACGGTATAAAATAGGTTTTGACGTGACGTGGCCGGACGGGTAACAGCTAGGCTAGCTAACTAACTAGAACTGAACAAAGAATTGTGAACATCAGCGGTGAGTGACCTAAATATAAACTGCAAATGTGTCCTAAAATGTTCTATTAATGTTAATAGTTACGTCCAAGTTTTTCCTGCGACTGCTTTTTGGCACGTTGAAACGTTTTTGTCATGAAAACGTTAACAGATAATTCTGAAAACCTCCGTGCACGTGTGTTAAGAATGTATTTGTATAACGTGTTCTCTGATTAACAATTAAATTTATTGATTGATTGTTATTAATGTTTAATGAGCGTGGGCTTCAATAGCTTCTCTCGCTCAGACAGAAGTAACAAGTGACAGGCGCTGAAAGCATGTTGTGACAAAGTGTACGAACTACTGTCCAGAGAAATCTTATTATTTTACACACCTGAAGTACAAGCACAGAGTGTGTTGCCAAAGGGCAGCGGTCATTATTGGTTTAGAGTCTGTTATCAAGAAATAATGATCAGTAGAACGTTTTGAAAATGCTGCTGCTGTGAGGAGCTGTGTAATAAATTTTGAGTAAAAGTCAAAGCCCTACTGCAAACACTATTACTTCAGATATCACAGTACTACAGAGTACAACAGAGTACTGTCTGTTGTTACTGTTTTAATAACATCATGTAAATGTATCCGGTTGAAAGATAACTTCTGATACAACATCCTTCTCTGTTCCCACTTATAATGAGAGTGCTTGGGTTAGGTTGATCCCTAGAGGCCAAAACTACGGAGCCACTGTTTCACAATAGTCCTGGTTTAAAACAGAAAATCCTTATTTAGATAAGATATTTCAAATACAAGTGAATTACTCACATGTGTGTACTGTGAGTCTGGTCCCAGCTCCAAACAGCAGCCTCCAGTCTGTATTCACACAGTACTGCAGACTGAGACAAATACTACTACTGCTACTACAACTGCTACTACTACTGCTACTCAGCGCACACATGTGTGTTACCATGGGTTGCATATTTTGTTTTTGAAAGACCAAAACAAAGTAACAGACAACTGTGAAGTGAAAGCTAAATTTGTTCATACACGAGGAAAGCAATGGACCCGTGGCAGTTCAGCTCCCGGCCGGACATTGCCGTCCTATCTGAAGAGACCTCTGTCCCACCTGGAGAAGCCTCTGTTCCACCTGGAGTAGCCTCTGTCCCTCCTGGAGAAGCCTCTGTTCCACCTGGAGTAGCCTCTGTCCCTCCTGGAGAAGCCTCTGTTCCACCTGGAGTAGCCTCTGTCCCTCCTGGAGAAGCCTCTGTTCCACCTGGAGTAGCCTCTGTCCCTCCTGGAGAAGCCTCTGTTCCACCCGGAGAAGCCTCTGTTCCAACTGGAGTAGCCTCTGTTCCACCTGGAGAAGCCTTTGTTCCACCCGGAGAAGCCTCTGTCCCTCCTGGAGAAGCCTCTGTTCCACCTGGAGTAGCCTCTGTTCCAACTGGAGTAGCCTCTGTCCCTCCTGGAGTAGCCTCTGTCCCTCCTGGAGAAGCCTCTGTTCCACCTGGAGTAGCCTCTGTTCCAACTGGAGTAGCCTCTGTCCCTCCTGGAGAAGCCTCTGTTCCACCTGGAGAAGCCTCTGTTCCACCTGGAGAAGCCTCTGTCCCTCCTGGAGAAGCCTTTGTTCCACCTGGAGAAGCCCGGTTCTGCTGTGATGACGTTATTCTTTGATTCTTCCAGCGCCTTCAACACCATCCAGCAGCAGCTTTTCAGGGACAAGCTGGAGACAGGTGGAGTGGACTACAACATATCTGGGTGGATCCTGGACTACCTCACAGACCGACCCCCGTTTGTGAGAACCAGGGACTTTGTGTCTGAGGTCCTGACCTGCAGTGTGGCTGCCCCCCAGGGGACAGTCCTCGCCTTGTTCCTCTTCACCCTCTACACTGCGGACTTCAGACACAACACGGACGGTTGTGTTCTACAGAAGTTCTCTGACGACTCTGCCATCATCGGACTCAGCTCCGAGGATGATGACGCAGAGTACAGAGGAGTTATGCAGGACTTTGTGGACTGGTACTCAAAATAGGTTTGAAGGCAAACTAGTCCAACTAAGTCAAACACACTGGATTGAAAGGAGCCAGAGACAACATTCTAACAAGGATTCCTTATTTTTATATATAAAATAGCATAATAAAACTGGATGAAAGGCAAAAAGCCACATTCTGATTGAACCTCGGGTTGCCTATACACATGTATAGGCAACCCGAGATATACACACTTATATATATATATATATATATATATATATATATATATATATATATATATATATATATATACAAGCATTAGTACTCACATGTGTGTACTGCAGTATTGAAGTATTAGTACTCACAAGTATGTACTGTGAGTCTGGTCCCGGCTCCAAAGATGAGCTTCCCATATCCAGCATTCACACAGTACAGCAGAGTATGACAAATACGACGACGACTATTACTACTGCTACTGCTGCTACTTCTATGGTATTACAGGCTCTGAACCAGGACTATGAAACTATAGTGAATCGGGAACTTTAATGGTCCCAGAGTCGTCCCGTGGGGGACCATGCAGACATCACCTCTATCCTTAAGCTAAAACATTAATCAAAAACCCTACAATTATTCAAAAACTTTGAAAACAACAATGTTCAGTCTGAAAGTGGCTGAATTCTCAGTTTGTAGATTAAAGCTCAGGTCTGTACATTTACTCTGATGAATAACACAACAGCAAGAGTCTTGTAAATGAAAAATATTGTGAACTAATCAGACCACAACACGAAGTCTTCACTTTGGTAGTAAAATGTTATCTAAGAAAGAGCCCTTTACTCTTTGGGCTGAAAGCTGATTGGCTGAGTGAGGATGGTGTCTCATTATCTCTCCCCAGCTTTAATGTTACATACTCTCATGTGTACTACAGTATTAAAGTATTAGTACTCACATGTGTGTACTGTGAGTCTGGTCCCATTTCCAAAGATGAGCTTCCAACTTCCAGAAGTCACACTGTACTGCAGACTAATACAAATACTACTACGCCCCCGGCTACTACAACAACTAGTGCTCCTTTTACTGCTGGTATTACAGGCTCTGAACCAGGACTCTGTTGTTAATTGTAAACAGGAATGATCCCAGAGTTGACCCCTGGGGGACTCCACAGAACATTTGGACCCTAACCTTATCCCAGAGACATCTATCTCAAAACTACAACATTAATTGAAAAAACCCTGCAGTTTTTAAAAATGCTTTAAAAACTACACAATTTAGTTTGAAAGCGGCTCAATGTACAGTTTATACATTAAAGCTGGGGTGTGTAACTTTAGTCCCACAAATAACACATGTTTGTCCAACAGAGTCTTGTAAAAATAAAATATTGTGAACAAATCAGACCACAACATAACGTCTTCACCTAATTAGAAAACATGTTTCATGTAAGACAGATCCCTGTGAGTCACTATTTGACTCTTTTGGCTGAGAGAGGGCGGTCCTCTCTTTTTCACTTTTCTGTCTGAATAAGCTGATCTAAAGAAGTGAAGTCAAAAATACATGTATGTGAAAACTAGTGATAGAAGCAACTGTTCCAGAGCCAAGAACAAATTACATCGATTTTATTACACTGTTGTGGTCTGAAAGTTACGTACCCCAGCTTTAATGTTACATACTCTCATGTGTTCTGCAGTATTTACTGTAAGTATTAGTACTCACCTGTGTGTACTGTGAGTCTGGTCCCATTTCCAAAGATGAGCTTCCAATTTCTATTATTCACACAGTACTGCAGACTCATACAAATACTACAAACGATACAACTGAACTGAGCGACACACTTTCCATTGTGAGAGAATTGTGCCATACAAATAAACTTGCCTTTTTTCGACTACAACTTCTACAAGTGATTAATACAATAGTTTTCAGGGTTACTGCGATCACCAATTCTGTCTAAAGGGTGTCAAACTCATTTTGGTCTGGGGGCCAAATATAACCTAATTGGATCTCCACTGGGCTGGATCAGATTATTCTCTGCAAAAACACCAAAAAATAGTAGAAAGTACTAGTACTGTATACTAGGTTTCATAAGTAAAGAAATCCAACTGCATCACAAATATAACATCTGGGAGTATTTTCTTTGTTCAATATTCACAGAGACTACAAGACAAGTACGACAAGTAAGTATTGGTACTCACAAGTGTGTACTGTGAGTCTGGTCCCATTCCCAAAGATGAGTTTCTAGAAGTCAGTATTCAGGGGCTAAACCATTTAAATAAAAAAACTCAAAGGATCTCAAAATGAACCCTGAACATGACAGGGAGCCAGTGAAGTAATACTGCAACTACTGCTGATATTACAGGCTCTGGACCAGGACTATAAATCTGTAGTAAATTGGAAACAGTAATGGTCCCAGAGTTGACCCCTGGGGGACTCCACAGAACTTCTGCACGGTCATATTTATAAAAAACCTACAGTTGTTCAAAAGGTTTAAAAATAACAATATTCAGTCTGAAAGCGGCCGAATGCACCGTTTAAACATTAAAGCTCAGGTGTGTAACTTTGGTCTCATAAATTGAAAGTGTTTGTCCAATAGTCTTGTAAAAGCAAAATGTAGTGAACAAATCAGACCACAACATGTCGTCTTCACCTTATTAGAAAACAGTCACTATTTGACTCTTTGGGCTGAGAGCCGATTGGCTGAGTCAGGGTGGTTCTCTCTATTTCACTCTCTAATGTGTAGTGCAGGATTGAAGTATTAGTACTCACATGAGTGTACTGTGAGTCTGGTCCCGGATCCAAAGATTAACTTATATCCAGTATTCACACAATACTGCAGCCTCATACAATGACTAAATACTACAACAACTGAACTGAACTACACACTTTTGTGAGAATGGTGCCATAGTTGCTTTAAATATTTACAAATTAAACTAAATTATCTTATCATAGACTACAACTGCAATGGGTGATTACAAGAGTTTTTAAAGTGACTTAAATCACCACTTCTGTCTGAACTAGGTAAACCACAAGCGTCTTCTGAGGTATTAGTACTTAGAAGTATATAGTAGTTTGAAGTAGTAGGACTCACAATCATTTGTTTTTTAAGTAAGTTTTCACGTAGACTTCATGAACGACAAGTAAGTATTAGTAACCACAAGTGTGTACTGAGTCTGGTCCCAGGTCCAAATTGTTGTTTCAAATTAGCAACATCCATACTGCAGTAAACCATACTACTACTACTACTATTTTCATTACTATTACTGCTGATATTACAGGCTCTGAACCAGAACTATAAATCTGTTGTAAATTGGAAATAGTAACTAGTGATACAACTAGTGATAGAAGCAAAGTGTTTCAGAGCCAAGTTTCAGAGAGTTACAAACATACAGCTTTAATGTTACATACTCTCATGTGTTCTGCAGTATTGAAGTAATAGTACTCACCTGTATATACTGTGAGTCTGGTTCCACTTCCAAAGATGAGCTTCCAAGTTTCAGTATACACACAGTACTGCAGCCTCATACAAATACTAGATACAACAACAACTGAACTGAGCTACACACTTTTCATAGTGTGTGTTTAGTGCTATACAAATAAACGGGCCTTTCCTGGACAACTGCTGCTACGAGTGATTAAAAGAGTTTTCAAAGTTACTGTGATATTATTTCTCACAAGTATTAAGTATTCTGAGGTATTAGCATTCAGATGTGTGTACCGTGAGTCTGGTCCCATTCCCAAAGATGAGATTCCCGAAGTCTATATCCATGTATCAAGTATCTACGCGGTTCTGCAGACAAATACTACTACTAATAATAATATATTACTACTACTCCAGCTTCTGCAACAACTACTACTGGTATTACAGGCTCTGAACCAGGATGTAAAGATGTGATTCCAAAAATACATATTTATGAAAACTAGAGATAGAAGCAACTGTTTCAGAGCCAGGAACTAGTGACGGGTTTTATTACATTGTTGAGGTCTAAAAGTTAGGTACCCCAGCTTTAATTTTTCATACTCTCATGTGTACTGCGGTATTGAAGTATTAGTACTCACATGTGTGTACTGTGAGTCTGGTCCCGGATCCAAAGATGAAGTTATAATTTCCAGTATTCACACAGTACTGCAGACTCATACAAATACTAAATACTACAACTGAACTGAACAACACACTTTTGTGAGAATTGTGCCATACTTGCTTTAAAATACGCCGTCTTCGCCTTATTATAAAATATGTTTTCATTTATTTAGGACCCATTGCTATCACTGCTGATATTACAGGCTGTGGACCAGGACTATAAATCTGTTGTAAATTGAAAATAGTAAAGGTCCAAGAATCGACCCCTGGGGAACTCCAGAGAACTTCTGCACGGTCACATCTATCAAAAACCTACAGTTGTTCAAAAGCTTTAAAAACAACAATATTCAATCTGAAAGCGCCCAACCAAACGCACAGTTTATACATTAAAGCTTGGGTGTGTAACTTTAGTCTCATAAATAACATGTGCATGTACAACAGAAAGAGTCTTGTAAAAGTAAGATGTTGTGAACAAATCAGACCACAACATGTTGTCTTCACCTTATTAGAAAACAGTCACTATTTGACTCTTTGGGTTGAGAGCCGATTGGCTGAGTCAGGGTGGTCCACTCTTTTTCACTCTCTAATGTGTACTGCAAGATTGAAGTATTAGTACTCACATGTGTGTACTGTGAGTCTCGTCCCGGATCCAAAGATTAACTTATTTCCAATATTCACACAGTACTGCAGACTCATACAAAAACTAAATACTACAACAAACTGAACTGAACTACACACATTTGTGAGAATTGTACCATTGTTGCTTTAAAAAAATTACAAATTAATGTAAATTAGCTTATCCTAGACTACAACTGCAATGGGTGATTACAAGAGTTTTTAAAGTGACTTAAATCACCACTTCCGTCTAAATCAGGTACTTTGTCGTCCAAACTACACAGCAGTCTTCTGTGGTATTAGTACTTAGAAGTATATAGTAGTTTGAAGTATCATGACTCACAATCATTTGTTTTTAAAGTGAGTTTTCACATAGACTCCACGAACGACAAGTAAGTATTAGTAACCACAAGTGTGTACTGAGTCTGGTCCCAGGTCCAAATTGTTGTTTCAAATTAGCAACATCCACACTGCAGTAAGTCCTACAGTAAAGGTCCCACAATCGACCCCTGGGGGACACCACAGAACTTCTGCGCGGTCAGTGAGGGTGGTCCTCTATTCTTTTTTTGCTTTTCCGTCTGGAAAAGATGATCTAAAGATGTGAGGTCAAAATGCATGTTTATGAAAACTAGTGATAGAAGCAAAGTGTTTCAGAGCCAGGAACTAATGAGACAGATTTGACTACATTGTTGTGGTCTGAAAGTTACATTCCCCAGCTTTAATGTTACATACTCTCATGTGTTCTGCAGTATTGAAGTATTAGTACTCACCTGTGTGTACTGTGAGTCTGGTCCCAATCCCAAAGATGAACTTCCAATTTCCATCATACACACAGTACGGCAGACTCATACAAATACTACAAACGATACGACAAACGTTTTCAGGGTTGGGATCACCACTTCTGTCTAATTCAAGGACAGTGTCGTCCAAACTACTAAAAATACGTTTGATTCTTAACAACACAGCATTATGAGGTATTAGTACTCACCAGTACATAATATTCTGAAGTATAAGTACTCACATGTGTGTACTGTGAGTCTGGTGCCGGATCCAAAGATGAACTTCAAATTTACAGTATTCACACAGTACTGCAGACTCATACAAATACTAAATACTACAACAACTGAACTGAACTACACACTTTTCATAGTGTGGGAAATGTTCCACACTTTAATTTTTAAAGTGACTTAATTCACCACTTCTGTTTAAATCAGTTACTTTGTCGTCCAAACTACACAACAGTCTTCTGAGGTATTAGTACAAGTGATACTGCAACAACTACTGCTCCTGCTACTGCTGATATTACAGGCTCTGGACCAGAACTATATATCTGTTGTAAAATGAAAATATTAAAAGGTCCAAGAATCGACCCCTGGGGAACTCCAGAGAACTTCTGCACGGTCACATCTATCAAAAATCTACAGCTGTTCAAAAGCTTTAAAAACAACAATATTCAATCTGAAAGCGCCCAACCAAATGCACAGTTTATACATTAAAGCTTGGGTGTGTAACTTTATTCTCATAAATAACATGTGTATGTACAACAGAAAGAGTCTTGTAAAAGTAAGATGTTGTGAACAAATCAGACCACAACATGTTGTCTTCACCTTATTAGAAAACAGTCACTATTTGACTCTTTGGGCTGAGAGCCGATTGGCTGAGTCAGGGTGGTCCACTCTTTTTCACTCTCATGTGTACTGCAGGATTGAAGTATTAGTACTCACATGTGTGTACTGTGAGTCTGGTCCCGGATCCAAAGATTAACTTATAACTTCCACTATACACACAGTACTGCAGACTCATACAAATACTAAATACTACAACAACTGAACTGAACTACACACTTTTCATAGTGTGGGAAATGTTCCACACTTTAGTTTTTAAAGTGACTTAATTCACCACTTCTGTCTAAATCAGTTACTTTTTCGTCCAAACTACACAACAGTCTTCTGAGTTATTAGTAATAACAAATATATAGTAGTCTGAAGTATTACGGATCACAATCATACAGTTTCTTTTAAGTAAGGTTGCACATAGACTTCAAGTACTACAG